AACCCGCACTTAGTCTGCACGAAGAAATTTGACGTTTGAGCGGTGCCGTGTTTACTAAAAATGAACACATTGATAATGCTCACGTAACATTTAAAAATGGTTCATCAACTTCTGTACACAATGCTTGTTAAGCCCGTTTCGCGCGAACCGAAGTACGCCCACGCAAACCAACAACACCATCGGGGAGGGTAAATTCTTCCCTTCCCGATAAAGCTCTTTGTTTGCGTGGCTGTTCTTTGGTTCGCGTGAATAAAAGTTGATTTGCCCCTTTCTAAAGTTACGCGAGCATTACATCATGTGTTCTTTTTTAGTAAACACAGCACCGCTCAAACGTCAATTTTTTTCGTGAGTTCCTTCCGTGCATTGGTCAATTGGGTAAGCAGAGATGGGAGTGTGTGGTGGTAACGGTTGTGTTAAGTGATTAACCGGTTCCTGTGTGGGTAAGTGTGCTCGTGAATTTCATTAAAAACGCTCTACACGGAACCGAAAAATTACCCAAAATTAAGTTCTTTTCACTCATCTTGCATGTTCCGTTCAATAAGCTAATTTTCAATAAAAAGCTTATAGTAGTTTCCTTTTGACTACGGCAAAAATAATTACTTACTCGTGAGTATACGCCCACGCAAACCAACACCATCATCGGATAGGGGCAACTATGACCTTTCCGAAAGTGGTATTGGTTTGCGTGGGCGTAGTTTGGTTCGCGTGTAGAGGGCCTTAGAAAGTTTGTTGACAAATGCTTTTGTGCCGTTATCAAATGTTATGCCTGATATACTTACTAGTAGCTTATTGAACGGTAGTCATGAGAAAATCGAATCTCTCGTTCCGTTTTTGACAACAACAAAAAGCGAGAGTGGGATGTAGAACTCAAAATTACCCAAAATTAAGTAAAAAGAACTTAAATTTAGGGTAATTTTTTTCTCTGTTTACACTCACGAGAACTCTAAGCAAAGCGTATCACGGACAATAAGGCTGTCTACGAGACAGTTGCGATCAGCTGACTTTTTTGTTTACCAAGAACTTTTGACAGATCACAGTAGAACTGACAGTTCACTCTCACATGAATTTCTGCTTTGTTTATGTTTACATTCAGCACCATTAACACCAGATCACTCACACTCTTGATTTCTAGTTGTCAGTTCCACTGAGAAACGTCTCTTGGATCACCTTATTGTCTTCTTGCCGCAAGATTGCACCAACGTTGCTAGTGTAGCCGTGTAAAATCGATTTGTTTATTATTTTCAACCACGAAATCAGCTGTTAAAGTGTTCGACTTGACAGCGGTTTGTTTTTTATATTCAACCAGTAAAACGCTTGTATTAGTGTAACTGCTCACTAATACTAACGGTGGTAGAGAACTCTATGCAAATGTTCTGTTCAAGTGTGATAATAATGGTCTATCAGATCATACACTCAAAAAATTCCACACGTCATCATCATGTGTCTCACACTTAATTTTGCGCTTATTGTGAAACACATCCATTTCATGTGTGAATCTTATACTATGAATCATGCCTGAACACTATGGATTTGAATTGTGACATACTTGGATGCTATGCGCCTCATTTGGTGATATCAATAGCTTTGCACATCATAGTTCAATATTCTACAATATTCTACTTTATCGACTTCTACTTTACCGACTCTAAAAATGAATCGACAAATATACCGTGGTAATATGACCGGTTTTAATCTGAACACTTTTAATTTGAACCCCGCTTATCTGCACGGCGTGCAAACTAAAAATTGCCTAAACGTCATTTTGCGCATGGAACGGAGTAAAGCGAAATGGAACATTGCAAAACGGAACGCAGAATCAAAACAAAACAGCAAATAAGGCAACCAGAAACACGCTGATAGGGTTACTAGAAGCTCAAATTAAAAATGAACCCCGTTTATATGAATGAGGTGTCGGTCAGATTAGCGGGGGTCCACAGTATAAACAAAACTGCCAGAGGCCAGAGCTTCCACATACCTTTTTAATGGGTTTGATTTGGGATTCGATCATGGACTGTTGGAGTGTGCTGCTGCCGGAGTCGTCGTTCGATCTCACTGTGCCACGGTTGTTCTCATATATGACAGGATAAAGTTACAAGTCTTGTTTTCGATGTTTACCTTTCTGAGCAAGCAATTTACATCGCATTGAAATGCAAAACACTTTAAATCCATCTGTTTTGAACAGTAGTGCAGTACACTTGAATAGATTGTGAAAGATTTTCAACATTTCAAAGTTTGAAACACTATAAATTAACGTGTATAACACATTTAACCAAGGTGAAATACACTTAAAATAAATATGATTTTGGATTTAAAAAAATCAAGTGTTAAAACACTTCGATCATACGTGTGGAATTTTTTGAGTGTAGTTGTGACGCGACCTTGTGACCTGATATCGCGCGTTAAAAGTATAAAGGAAGAGATGGAGGAGGTTTTCAACCTGGGGGGGGGGAGGGACTTGCTGTCAAATCAGCCTACTGATCATTCTGTTTCCAAACGTAAACAAACGCTGTAGGTTTCTTATGGCTTGTTTACGTTCGTATGTGATAGCCACCTCCCCCCTTGATTTCAACGAGATCGCATTGCTGATCAGAGACATCACGTTGAAAAGCGGAATGACAGACGTAAGACAAAATGTAAATGGTCTTGAACAATTTAATAGTGAGAAATTGGATAGTATGAAAAGTTCTTTTTTTTAAGAATTAATGTGTTGTGTTGTTGAATTAGCTGTAAAGAATGATCAGCGCAGTGCATCTAGAACGATTCAGTCGGAATTCGACCAAAATACCAGACGCAAAAACATCAATTCCAAAATAGAGATAACGATGATGATGTTTTTTTTCTTCTAGAAAATGCGAGTTTTGCGGATGTTGTAAAAAGACATAGTCATACTAGAACAAGTAAAACTATAAGTAACAGTAACACACTGTATAATCGAAATACTCGTCCGGTCATCGCGACTAAACCAAAAAAGTACCAATAAGCTTGCGAAGATACTCGAAAGTTTTTTGAAAACACAGTTGGATCCAAAAACACACAAAATCAGTAATTTTAGGAATGATATAGATGGCTCTATTATTGTTGAGTGTGCAGCAGGTGCTAATCTAAATGATGTGTAAAATGGTATCGAAAGCAATCTGGGTGAAAACTATAGTGCTGTTGTTCTCGGTGCCAAGGTTGAAAATAGTGGGCATGAGCGAACAGTATTCCTCCCATGTCTTCATTGACTACTTAAAAGTTCAAAATGCGGACATCGCTATAAGTGCTGTAAAATTTGTAAAAATGTTTGAAAATCCTAGCTTCACTTACAACAAGTTTAGTGTTGTGGTTGAAGTCGATGTCGATACGTATGAATGTTTGTTATGTTGCGAAAACAGTAAAAGTAGGGTTTTATCGGTGCTCGTTAGTTCTCACGATTTATGTGCAGAGATGCTTCAAATGTGGAGAATTTGCGCACAAGATTATGGATTGCAAAAATTGTGAGAGATGCTCTAGGTGCAGCCAACAACACAAAATAAATAATGAACGTAAAATAAACTTGGACGACAACCATGCCGAATTGAGCTTGAATTGTTAGGTTTAAAAAAGCAACTTGCATTTCAATAAATAGTAACCACGCGCCAGGTGGAATGTGAATCAATATGATTTTTTTTTAATATAGTTGAATATTGCGGGGTTGTCAACAAACGTAGCATTACGCAAGTTTGTTGAGAAACAACGTCCATTTTAAGTTTTATTAGCAAAAACTCATATTGTAGAAATTGAAGCATTTGATCGGTATAGTATTCCGGGATAAAATGTTGCTGCTTGTTTATCACTTTCTAGGCACACTGGCGGTGTTGCTATTTATGTCAAAGAACCAGTTCAATTCAACCATCATACCGACGAATTTATTGAAGGCAAATGGTTCTTGGGCATTACAGTTCTGCGTGGCATGAAGATGGGTAATTATGGTGTTTTTATGGGAATTTTGCCGAAACCTCAGCTAACAAACCTAAATTATGCTGAATCTCAGCAAGTTTTTCACTGAGATCCAGCAAAATAAAATACCGAGCTGCTCGGTGGTGCCCATCTCTGCACAAAAATCTAAGTGTGTATGTGTCCATGATACTCAACTTTTAAATGTGTCCGGATTTATGGACTAAATTTAGTACAGGGTAAATGACGCCTTTATTTATTATCCAAGGGATCAATGGAATCATTGAGCGCTCATATCTTGCATAAGGGTACATACAGTTTCCGAGTATCTATTGGTCACAATTGACCACTTTGTCAAGCAGTTTTGGCGTGACTTTCTACCAGCGATTTCACAAAACTGGACCAACTAATTTCTATTTTTTTTTTCCTTTGGTCTATTTTTTTTTTATGAAACGCACAAATGTTGGCTACTTTTCTCGAGGTTCTAGAAGAAAAAATCTCAAAATAATGTTCTATTTCAAAGTTCGAGTGGTAGTAAACGTCATTTTAAGTGCTCGAATGAAGTGGTTAATTGAACACTCCAATACTCTATTTACCCCTGATGATAAAATATAAAGGTTTTGCCGAAGCCGTCATGTACCCTACATCGGTAAATAGTTAAATAAATCCAAATTGCCCAAAACATGTCGACCCTCCTAGAAGCAGCTTGCGTCCAACCAGTAGGCTGCGGCCCATAGGTTAAAAAATGCTCTACCTCAAATCACTCCAGTCATGGATACCGGAAACGATCGAAGTCACAATTAATTACAATGTACCCTGTTAGAAATTGACATAAGGACACTTTAAAAAGCAATAAAAAAAAACGAGGAATCTAAAAACAATTTTAGAAAGAGTCAATTGCATCATTTACGTAAGAGAAACAAATGGAAATGAGAGTTTCTCCTTTGAAAATAAAGATAAGGACGCCTATTTGTATGGGAAATTGGTCACTTCCGAAATATGTTTTAGCATGTCAAAAATCATTGTGTTACCAGACATTAATTCCCACCAGTGTATATTCCCATTAGAATCAACCAACTACTCACCGAATATCCCGGAATAGAGAGCGTACTTCCGACATCGTTCATCGAAATAACCAGCGTGTTTGTTTCCGACACCATCATGTGGGCCATATCGAAAGCATTGGCGTAGTGTTTGACCTGTTCGAATGCCTTATTGGGCTTGTTCTCCTTGTGCGCTTCCTGAATGTTACCATCCTCCACGAATAGCAAGAAACCGTCTTTGTGCTCCTTCTTCTGCAGCATCTCCAGCGAGTAGTGCACCAGTCGGACCAACGGTGGAGTCTCCTTGTTTTGTTCCTCGGTCATGTCGGTGGCATAGGGTAGCCTATCGTAGCTGAACAGTCCCATGAGATAGTCAATGTTGGTCGTATTCAGCGCACCCAGTTCGGTCTGTAAGAAGGCAATCAGAAATATACACATTAGCAAACAAAAACCGGAAGGATGTTCGTAATGCGGAAAAGAACGGCGTAGGATAAAAAGAATACAAAGAAGAAGAAGAAGTAATAACAACATCCTCATTATCTTTCCGCATCAGTCATTTTCATACCCACAAGCGACACGGGGCAGCAGCAGAATAAAGCAGTGTAGGGTTCCAAGCGAATGAACCTTCCTTTCAAGAGGAGGGTTCTCATTTCGAGCAGCCAGCAGCAGCAGCAGCGACGGGAATGCTCTCATCCGTTTTAAAGCTGGCCGTGTTCGTTTTTAAAGCCTATACCTACTCGTGGTAATCGGGGAGAGTTTCAGGACGCTTTGAATTTGAACGGTTTGGCTTGGAAAGGGAGAATCTCCGAGTAGGGGACCGAAATGAAATGAAATGGAAATCAAATTATGAATCATGATTGGAGGGGGAAGCAACGACGGTGTTTTGTGTTTTATGTCGTTCTCGCTTGGTGTAACTCGGATCATGGGTTTATCTATATGAGGCGATCGTATTATTGTTTTTCGTATTATTCTCGCTGATGATATCATATAATATGAGCATTTAAGTGCTAGAATAATTAGAGACGTAATAAAGGAATAACAAAGGAAACGGTTTAGCTGATTTGTTCTGTGGAGTGCACACGCAAAGCAAATTTCTCTTACATTTGTTTATTTGCATATTGAAAAATTCAACTGACATTTTTTGTCTAAATGAATAAAACCTAAACTAAAAAGTTACGGTCAACGGTACGGAAAAGGCCAAGTAGCCGATGACGAATATAAAAGAAGTTATTGAATTGCCGGCTGATTGCTCGAATTGGCTCGTGTTGTGTATAATTTCGGCACCATGGTTCCAAAAACAGAAAGTCGCGTTGACGAAGAGGCCTCTCAGGGACATGCAGAATTAGCTGAGACAAGTGTTGGACAGTCAATGTCACCCGTAAGCAGATTTCCAGCGAACATAGCTTGAGCGACCGTCCGTCTCACCTCTAATGGTTCGATTCCCAGAAGACGGCAACGCTCCTCGTGTTGGGTCTCGCCAGTTGAGGAAACGAAGAGCATATCTCACAAACTTGCGTTGAACGGATTCAATTCTAGTGATCCAGCTAGCATGGAAAAGGCACCAAACAACTAAACTTGGCTGCAATAAGGATCGCACAAGCGAGCAGTAGGGTGACCTGAGGCGTAGCGGGTAATGGAACTCTTCGGATTTTTTTGAAAATAAAGCCCAATTGTCGATTAGCTCTGGAGATGATGTCGTTGTAGTGGATTCTGAAAGTGAGTCTGCAGTCCAAGGTAACGCCGAGATCCTTTATGTGCTCCACACGAGCACGACAGCGTCCGTAGAGAACATAGTCAAACATAATTGTTTCGATTTTTCGGTGATAGGAAATAATGTTACATTTTTCGATGCTTAGACTCATCAAATTTCTTGAGCACCAGTCAGCAAAAATCCAGTGTATGGTTGGATTTATTACATTCTCTGTATTTTTTTGTTGTCATACAACAAATGTAATGGCAGTTCTTGCAATGGACTGTAGCATGTTACTGATTACCTTACTAGAAAGTTACTGAGTAATTAATTACTAGCTTGTTTACAACAATACCTGATTAAATAGATAAACATTTTACCCTATAATAAGTTAAGCCGATTTTATTCAAAATTAGGAAAATTTTACGCATACTTATATACTTTCTGGAACACCCAATATATATTCAATAAGTGATCCTTCAAACCTGTTGACACAGCAAAACTTTTTTCACGCGTGATTGGTTATCAAAAGTTAGCTTCGTGGCAAAAGCAATAACCCGAAATGATTTTGGTTTCATAATTTCTATGATATGGGAGAATTTTTTTAAAATACTTGTTTTTTAAACTAAGTATTTTAATTAAATTTGATTGTCACTCCGGGGAAAACCTTCAAGGGCTTTTTAAATTTTGGCATCGATAGATAATTACGATATACGCGGAGACTTGAAGTATGTCTCCGCGTACATCGTACGGGTTAGGCAAAAGGTGTGTGTTTGACTTTATACTGTCGCATTAATGGCCCTTCGCTCATTTTCAACTTCTATTCAATTTTCATACTGCCGTACTCTAACGGAACTACCCACCTACCCTCCTCTAAAAATCATTCTCTAGCTAATAAATTATAACACTAAAGCTTCATGTTAGCATTTCCAACCAACTCTGAAAATCGCTAACTTCGCGTTTGAAGTAACATGAAAACACTTTGAATCGATAGATAGATTTCAACTTTTTTTCCCCCGTAGCAAAAACCTGTGCATATTAAAAAAAAACACAAGCATTTAAAAAAATTCCCTCCTATACCTCACCGTAAAGGACTTAAGAAACCATAATCATGCCATAATCAATCATGTTGATAGTTCTTATGATCGCCACGAGAACCATGCTGAATTCCTACGTAACCTTTTTATAGCGGTAAGCTCCATCGAAGATAATACACCAATCTCGAATTAGCCTCGATTTTACTAAGAACCATGCCGTATTATCCTAAATTTTTATCTCGGATATAACTTTAATACGCCAATTTCGGAATATTAGAGAAAATATTGGATTTTCTAAAAGAATTCAGCCAAAACAAAATCTTCTCTCACCACTCTCACACACACATATGCACGAGCATTAAATCGACAGTGAGCATGCATAAGGGCGTAAACGCGATGATCGATTTTCTTCGTCGATTTTCTCTTTTGTTAATAACTCGCTAGATTTAACGTTTCTCGGTTCGTTTGCTGTTGCTTTTGATAGCCAATACAACCTGTTACAACTCTGCATTGAAAACATTCTAGAATTTTTTTCGCGATCCTGAGCAAGGCATAGAGAAAATATATGAAAAGAATCGATCATCGCGTTTACGCCCTTATGCATGCTCACTGTCGAAATGTAATTTTTCTATTTATATTTGTGGAATCCGATTCACTGCAGCTGTTCTCCGACTGCAGCTACCAGAAAGTCTGTTCCGGCTTGGTCCCAATCGGAACGTCCCACAGTGGCACGAATATGAATAAAGACGGTCAAAAATATTTTCTACCTTTTTTCGACGTTTTAGAGACTGGGTGTCTTGCGAGAAGTTGCTCAAAATTATATCCCGCATCTTTTAAATTACACACCTGAATAATCTTTAAGCTAGTATTACACATCCAAATTCTAACTTTTTTCAGTTACGAGATAATGGTTCCATGTCTTGGGCAAAGTTGCAGAGCAGTTGATTTTATGAACATTTGCTAAAGACACCAAATTTCTACATCATAACTCTGTAGAGCTATAATAGATTTTCTTTTAAGACTACCTTAACATTGGTTTTTTGAGTTAATGAGTGCTTTTTTCAAATTTGATCAATTTATCATGTTGTAAGAAATTGTTGGCATCATTAAAATATACAACTTTGCTGAATACACCAATGCTTTTCATTGACATCAATGTGATATACAGCCCATCAAGCGTTTTTGTGACATCATATTCAACGGCTCGAAAAGAGGGTGGGCGGGCCTTGGCGGGGTCTAAAACTGGTTGTATTTTGAAGATTACCTTATAAAATAGTACTTCTGAAAATTTCAGCGTTGGGTACTGAGGGGTACCTAGCCAAATCTCGATTCGAAAATTTCAATATTATATACAGCCCATCGGACGGTTTTGTGACGCCATATTGAACGGCCCGAAAAGATGGGAGGCGGCCCCTGCCAGTGTTTAAAACCGATTGAATTTCGAAGATTACATTATAAAATAGTGCTCCTGAAAAGTTCAGCGTTGGGTATTGAGTTATGAATCAATGATTTTAACCTACACATGTTTGAACTTGCAAATTATTTAAATTATTAAGCTTAATCTGGAGATGTATTTAATGGGTTTGATCTAAATGTGTTTGTTCTTCAGTGTACCTACATTGATATGTACATTCATTGCAATATTGATACTCATATGTTGATAGTTGCAAATATTTTAATGCAAGCTAATAATATTGATATATTCCTTGCCCTTTATTACATACAATATGAACTAAAATATTCGCAATACCTATCGGTATAACTTTCAAGAAAATTAGAATAAATGATAAAATTCTGACTACGGTTCTAAAGGGTTCCAACTTTGGACCTACCCACCCCACCCTCTTTTCAGAACATAGAACGAGACTTCACAACAGATGTTTGAAATTTCCACGTGCACATCGCTGAACGCTGCTGCAGATGACTATTTTGCGCTTGACGTTTTGGCGATAGCAAAGAGCGATAGGGTTTATTTAATTATCTAGGTGGGATTTTTTTTCACGAACAACTTGTGTTGAAGTTGTGGTTCAAAATGAACTCATTCAATCGGATGGTCGGATGTCGGATGGAATTGTTCAAAATTTGGGAGGAGAAGATTCACGGAAATCGTCATGTCAAATATTATCGAAGATAGTCAGGTAAGGAGTAATTAAAACATATATTTTTTCAATATCGGCGTACTCAAAATATCAATGTTCAGAATATACAGTTGATGAACAAGCCCATTGATTTTATTTCAAGAAAATGCATTTTTTATATAGTTGTAAATTTTATCATGAGTAAGTAGCACACTCGTAGCAGACATTGGTTTATAACTTGTACTAAATATATATAAACGAGGTTTCGACTACATCAGGGCTCGCCTATCCTATTTTCGAGCCATTGAATATGACGTCACAAAAACGCATGATGGGGTACATATAACATTGACTATTTCGACTCGAGATTTGACTAGATACCCCTGGAAACCCAGCACTTAACTTTTCAGGAGCACTATTTTATAATGTAATCTTCGAAATTCAATCGGTTTTAAACACTGGCAGGGGCCGCCTCCCATCTTTTCGGGCCGTTCAATATGGCGTCACAAAACCGTCCGATGGGCTGTATATAATATTGACATTTTCGAATCGAGATTTGGCTAGGTACCCCTCAGTACCCAACGCTGAAATTTTCAGAAGTAC